TTGCAGTGCTAATACAGTGAAATAATAATACCAGATTCTAAATAACAAATTACTGGTGGTTTGAACAATTATCCTTTATAACTCCTGATACAGATTTGAAATTATCCAGATAAGTGCTTGAAAGCAGCATTCAGAGCCAGAAAGTGAGAGAGCTAGGACCGAATTTAATGAATTTGAGCTAACTACCGTCGATTCGTATACTTATCTGTAGTTCTGCAGCTTACATCTACTGGTTCAGATTTGTCCATATCCTAAAGATGTAAGCAGCTACACGGTAGAACTACAGCTAAGTATTTGAATCGACGGTAGTTAGTTCAGTTACCTAGCTCAAATTCATTAGATTAGACATCAACAACCAAGTTCTCCTCGGCTTGTGAATAGTTTTAATAAATGTGAAGTTTTCACTAAATAACATCGTGACATATCTTTGACATACTTATGTATATAATTAAAATATTAAAGTGATAAAATGTTAAAGTAATTTTAAGTAATGTAAAGGAACATGTTAATAATTAATCAAGTACAGGGTTTACCACAACGGTTGAAACTTCAAAGACGACTGTTAAGAATTTATACTTTCTGTTTCCGTATATCTATGATTACATAAGACATTAAAAGATAATATATAAGGCAGAAAAGTTTTCAACCTTGAAATCGTCATATTGATAGAGTTTTAGATCGTCCTTTCAGTCTTTTTACTTTGTGGGCAACCCTGTATTAAATAGAATGATATTTCTATTCCACCTCTGCTGAAGATCCCATTTTCCATCTAATAAGATTTTAGTGTCCTGTCTTCTGTGTTTTCAGACCAATATGCATATTAAGTTACTATTGAAAATAAAAATTGAAGTTTATTGAAAATTCTCCATGTGATCACTATTGCTGCTAGTTGTTTAAAAAGTATATGTTGTTTGTGTATTAAAAGCCAGCATGTTTTGGTTTAAAGCGAGAAACTTACTTATATTTAAATAACTCCTTATCAAAACTATAAACTAAAGAAACTATATGTTGGTGCAAAAACTGCCAGATTAACCCATTTTATTCTGAATCAACAAATCAGTTAAACCCGTGTTCTCAACTTGTTATTTTTGTTTACTCCCAGAAATACGGATTAAATCTATTTTAAATGATTTGAGAAGAATTGACCCGGTTTGACACTGCTCCACATTGTTCTTGAGTAAACAAAAGCTTAGAAGGGTTCAACCCTAAAACGGTTTCTTGGAACACAATGATTACGGGCTAAAAATGAGATTACATAATGATGGTTCGGTAGCAAGATTGGATAATTATCCGGCTTAGTCCGTAGAGGAACACAACCTTAAACCTCCCGTACTCCCTGCTCCGGGTCCAGGGTTCTATACGGTAGTTTTATTGTCAGATAAAGGTGATTACTCCACTGCCTGCGTGTGGCGGGGTGTCAGTTGGTAGGCGGGGAGGATTCAGCCCACCTGCCCTGACTCCCCCTACCCCCCCCCCACCTTTCCAGCACACACCGTTCGCCAGATGGTAAATACTAGGAAAGAAAAAGTGAAAATCTTGAAATCTCCGAAGTTTGGTTTTGTCAGGGTTCGGTTGTTAAGGATTAACATCTGTGGAGTGTGGATTGAGCTAAAAATCAAGCTTTTCCAAACCGTCATCTCAGGATCCTTATATACTCTCAGATCAACCGGATAAATTCAAATTAAAAACGAACTTTGTCAGGATAAAAAGTAGAATCTAAATTACTGGTTTCAAGTTTGCACCTTTGTTAGGATTGTATTTTGTAAAAAGTCAAATTTAAAATCCATGTTTCTTTTGTATTGTTCGCGCGATAAATTCTATTGAACTATTCTTATTGTATTGAAATCCCAATATGCGTATTAAATAGTATATAGTCATAAATGAGTGATTTAATCCTGCTTGTGCTTATTATTCAAAATATAATGGAAACTATTAGATAGGTTAGGTTAACACAATTTCTGGGCCCAGTTATGCAAAAACTATGCATGTATTGCAAACTAAAGCACTTGTCTTTTTATCTAATCTAGGTTGTGTAATCTTTGTTTTTAATCAATTAAGATCTTAAATACATATTATTGTAGTATTTTGTTTTTATTTTTTTCAAGGTCTAAAATGTTAACTATATTGCAGTATTTGTCTTTAATCTAATCAAAATCTGAACTATATTGTAGTATTTATCATTTATCTGATCCAGGTCTAAACTATATTGTAGTATTTGTCTTTTATCTAATCAAGGTCTGAACTATATTGTAGTATTTGTCTTTTATCTAATCAAGGCCTGAACTATATTGTAGTATTTGTCTTTTATCTAATCAAGGTCTGAACTATATTGTAGTATTTATCTTTTATCTAATCCAGGTCTGAACTATATTGTAGTATTTATCTTTTATCTAATCCAGGTCTGAACTATATTGTAGTATTGTCTTTTTTCTATTCAAGACTTTGATTTTTGTATTTTGATAGATTAAGCTATAATGTACATTGTACACGTTGTAAATGTTCTGTTTGTGTTTGAATTGTATTTCAGATTATATATGTTTGTAGTTTGAATTTCACCAATTAAAGGAGATAATTTTTTTTAAGATTCCAAACGTTTGAAACTTAATGTTATAATGAATTTTCTTAAAAATTATAGTTAATTTTTTATCAATTTGTTTAATTTTCTTTTGATATTGATCTTAATCTTTTAAATTAAGGATTACTATTAATATCACACATATGATTTATCCTAGGTTTCGTAACTTTTAATCTTGTTTCCAGTTTGCCAGTCCTACCTAACTAATAAATAAATGTTCATTTCAAAACCTAAAATGATATCACTTTAACTCCATGGATTCCGATTGTATATTATGTAAGGCGCCTTTTCCCTCTCTCGATTTAATCTTTGCCTTGTGTCACTTTGTTGTATATTTGAGAGTTTGAACCCCCTGTTCTAAGTTTTACAACATATAATTTTCTCTTTAAACTACTACAAAATACTACTCTGGGATGAAACAAGGACGGGATAATGTATCTATCGAAGCACCACCACCTGATGACACCATGTTTCACTAATAATATAACGGGAAATAGAAATATTTACAATTAGTAAGATTAAATTCTGGATAAACAATCCACCCTCATCAAATATATCCTTGGGTTGAATCAAACCTTACTTCAAATATATCCTTGGGTTGAATCAAACCTTCCTAAAATATATCCTTGGGTTGAATCAAACCTTCCTCAAATATATCCTTGGGTTGAATCAAACCTTCCCTCAAATATATCCTTGGGTTCAATCTAACCTTCTCTCAAATATATCCTTGGTTTGAATCAAACCTTCCTCAAATATATCCTTGGGTTCAATCAAACCTTCTCTCAAATATATCCTAGGGTTGAATCAAAGCTTCCTCAATTATATTTTTAACTCCAATTTTTGAGTCAACTCACAGAATTGACTCAAATCAAACTTAAACTCAAATAAATTTTGTCCTGGATAAAATCAAACCGTAAGCGTGGCTTACATCAAGGTTCCACCAAAAACATAAAAAATCTTTACTCCAATCAAACTTTTGGCAAAAATAAAACGCTTGACTCAAATCAAACGGCTGGCTTTAATAAGTTCATTTGATGATATTGAATCAATATCATTATATTTTTAATCATTATCTATACTATGCAACCTCAACTAAGCTTTCGGTGTGTTCTGCAGCAATTTGCAGTACACTCACCGAAAATAGCGTTTAGTGGAGAGTACATGGATATTGTAATTTGCAGTACACTCACCGAAAATAGCGTTTAGTGGAGAGTACATGGATATTGTAATTTGCAGTACACTCACCGAAAATAGCGTTTAGTGGAGAGTACATGGATATTGTAATTTGCAGTACACTCACCGAAAATAGCGTTTAGTGGAGAGTACATGGATATTGGCGTAATTACGAGTATGTAGGAAAGAAGAAAAAATAGAAAAGTAAGAATAAAAAAAAGGAAGGGGTCTTATTAAAATTTTCTAATCCTATATCTTTGCAACATAATGATGTAAACCTTTGATATTAGATCATTTCATCTAACAGAATTTATAGTTCACAATATCTAAAGTATACGACATTGTGTTGCAAAGATATAGGGATTAGAAAATCAGGGTTTGTGATTGCTGAACACGGTTTAGGAAGCATTAAGTTATTATTAATAGGGATATAATTGTTTTTAAAACTGTCAACGTATATGTACATAACATACTTAATAACTTTATATCTTTTACCAGATTAGGTGTAAACAAGGTTCTGTTCGAATAAACCTGAATTAAAATAAAACACTTTTCTTGAAAATATGGGGGGGGGGTTAAGAGGGGGGAAATGGGCTGGGGGGGGGAAAGATAAATGTTAAGGGGGGTGTGCGAGCATGGGATCGGATGGATCCTAGTAAACCGGAAGAATATCCAGCTGCAGACAGCAGAAGAAGATAGTTTAACAGAAAGAAATATTCGAAGATAGATAGATAGACAGATTAGTAGTTAGGTAAGTTTTGTGAAAGATAGACAGATTAGTAGTTAGGTAAGTTTAGTAGAAGTAGACAGATAGACATTTGGACAGATAGACAGATTAGAAGTAGGGGAAGTAAGGAGGTGAGAATGTAAAGAAGAAAGAAGATGAGAATGTAAGAAATAAAGGAGATGAGAATGTAAGGGAAGAAAGGAGGTGAGAATTTAAAGAAGAAAGGAGATGAGAATGTAAGAAATAAAGGAGATGAGAATGTAAGGAAGAAAGGAGGTGAGAATGTAAGGAAGAAAGGAGGTAAGGAGACAATGTGACCGTCAGCTGCTGGAAGCATTATTGATACTTTAAGCATTCCAGAACTTTCTCTAGTTTTAGTATTAGGAGGGGATAGAGGGAGGAGGGTAATTATCCTTTTTAAATATAATAGTATTTGGTTGGTGTAAATCTATCTTTTATAATCGCTATGTACACTTGTCTATGCTGAATGTACCCTTATGTACCCCCTGTAACCCCTGTATGTACCTGTATGTACCCCCTGGCAAGAAAGAACCCCTGTATGTGCCTGGGCCACAATACTCTCACTGTGTCCTGCTACACCTGTAAAGTCTCCAGTGAATTACAAGTTGAATATTATAAACGTTTTTTTTAAAACGTTTTTTTGAAAACGCTATAAGTAAATGCTAAATCATAGTGTTGGATTTTTTTTATAATACTGGAAACTTTTTGTAGATTTAGATTTTAAAAAACGTTGAGAGGAAAAAAAGTTTTGCGGAATCCTGTAAAAATACTTTAACCTTGCAGTTTTTATTGAAACAATCTGACACTAATGCAATTTACATGATTAATACATACACTTATTAGAGGCGTAATCAGGATTTTATCAAAGGGGGGGGGGTCCGGGGCTATACTTCTCCCAGGGTAGAACATTTTGGGAAGCGTATTGTCTCAAGAGTAATGAAGCTCTCCTTCAGAAATAAAATAGATCAGCAACTTTCTACCATGGAATAAATAATAAATAATCCTTATATTTTGGCAACCTGATGATGGAAACCCTTGATATTTTAAACTTAGACTATTTTATCTAACAGAATTTATAGTTTGAAATGTCTAAGGTCTACGAAATTGGTTTACAAAGATATATGTATTAGAAAATCGAGTTTGTGACAAAGACTCAATTCCTTTAGTTTTATTAGTTATCGTTAAGAAGCTTAAATGCGGGAGTCTCTTTTTATAAAGAATCCACAATCACTGTGATCTTTCCAGAGCTGAAAACTTTAGAATAGGATATCCTTAATCCTGATCGGTTAATTAATCTGGAGATTAAAAATGAGAGGAGAACAAGCATTATTTAATCTGGAGATTAAGAAAAAGAGTGGATCAAGCATTAATCCCGATATCCACTATTCAAAAGTTCCCAGCTCAGGCTATATTTGTTGGATAAAACGTGCTGGGTTGACTCTACACTGGGTAGTCCTGTAGTCCAGACTAGACAGTACGACTGAATGCATATACAGTACATATTGTGCCTGCTCGGATCGTACAACTTTTATAGTGGGGCGAAATAAAAATAAATAAATTTTCAGCTGAACAAATTAGAATATCATACTTTAGCAGACAAAAATTCAGAGCGCACCGTTATGAATCGGACTAGCTTGAAATTACGTCTTTAGCTGATTAATATGGTTAATGATACGCATTTGATTAAAGCATTTTTGACAGTTTACAATTTTAAAGGTTTTCATAATTATAAATATTATATATATCGTTTTCTTAAAAATTACTTCAAATTTAACCGTTCTATTGTGAAAACATAAATCAGACAATCATGTGCGAAGGAACTGAGTCTTTGCAATAAACTAAAATTTACTAATCCCTATATCTTTGGAACCTAATGGTGTAAATCTATGATTTTTTAATATTTGATCCAACCAATTTATAGTTTGAAATATCTAAGGTTTACGACATTGGGTTGCCAAGGTATTAAGATTAGAAAATCAGAGTTAAATATATATTCAATTTAATTCGGATAATTTTTCCTAATTTTAGATGAATATTTTTGTTCTCTTTCATGAGAAATTTCAAATTATTGATATTTAATTTTATTCGAAGAGAAATAATTACATTAAATTTTTCTCACTCTCATATGATTTGCATTGTTTTAATTAGTGAAAGTAAATTTAATAAATTTAATGCATAAAAACTATAAATTTTTATTCTATAAATCCCCCAATTAACATTGATCGCAGTTAATTTTCTTGCTGTATATATGCAACCTGGAGAAAATCTTGAAAGTTAAATTTATTGTACACTCTTGTCAACTATAAATCCTAGAGAAAAGCAAAATTTATTCAATGTTTTAACATCTTTTTTCCTTTTCTAAACATAAGTTGCACCTTGCCTGTCAATAATATTTAAAACTAAAACAAGGGTTTATCTATTAATAATCTGTGTGGCCATTATTCAGTGCTATAGACAAGATATTTATGTTGGAGGGTTTCTGTAAAAGTCCGGAGAAAAATGTGTGTGATGCTGAAATTGCTTTCTTAGATTTAAATACCGGGCATTCTACAGAATTAAATCAGTTTAGAAATTCATCGTTAAAGAAATTCAGCCTTTGCTACAAACTATAATTTATTTATCCCTTTAACCCGATGTCGCAAACCTTTAATATTTCAAACTATACATTTTGTTAGATCAAATTTTCTAAGTTTAAAATATCAAAAGTTTACTCCATCAGGTTGCTAAAATATAAAGATTAGAAAATTTGAGTTTGTGGCAAAGACTCAATTCCTTTATCCAACATAGGAACTTAACACTTACCTCAAACAATAATATTGGAATTTTTGTAACCTGATGTCGTACTCCCTTGATATTTCAAAACATGAATTATTTTTGTAACCTGATGTCGTACTCCCTTGATATTTCAAAACATGAATTATTTTTGTTACCTGATGTAGTACTTCCTTGATATTTCATAACATGAATTCTGCAAGATCAAATACAGGTCACAAAAATAAAGGAATTATTTATTAGAGTTTGTATTAAGAGTTTAGTTCATTTGAAGGATTTTAATATGATCTTAATATATACATGTTATATATATCAAATCTCTGGATACATAAGTAAGGTAGTGAAAAGAATAGAGAAAGAAAAGAAATAAATTATTTTACGAAAATATGGAAAACAACTATTTTGTAAAATTTATTGATTTTTAAAATTAAAAAAAAAACTATTCAACCTATTTTTAAGGAACAAATATCATCAATGTTTTTAGTTAAAATTCGTTTATGAAAAAAATCAGGGGCGAATACAGGATTTAAGTGAAGGGCTGCTAGATTTATTTCGGAACAAAAACATCCAGATTTAGGAACATTTTTTTAAGGTAGATATTTTTCCTGTTTTGCACTAGGTTTTCTTTCCTTGAAGTGCTAATGAGGAGCTATTCTGAAAACAGCCCCCCCCCCCTTTGTATCCGCCCCTAAAAAAAATCATTTATTAATTCCAGACACAGACATAATATGTTTTTCCACCTGTCATCATATAGAACACGTGAATGAAGAGATAGAAAAAATGGCCACCGGAGAACCAAGCCGGAGTCAAGCTTCTCCTTACATGAACCTAACTCTCTCCGTCCAACCCTCTCTATTTGACCTCTACTATGAAGAGTTCCTATCGGATGTTATGTCTGTTGAGGAATCAAGTAAAGGATCAAAGGTATTGAAAAAGAAAGAATCCATCTTGGACAAAAAAGTTCTAATCAATAAATGAAACAAAGCGCGTCTAAATCTCTGAAATAATCCAGTGATTAAAAAAGTATTCTGTTTTCAATGATTTGCACGTAAATTAAATTTTCCGTTGGAAATTATTTCCACTTTGAAGTATCTTGGCGTTAGAAGCACTTTTTCGAGCGTGGCGGATCTGTGCTTGTTTTGGAACGTGCGCGTCATGCCTCGGTGAGTGCGCACAAGCCAAATTTGGCGGTAAATTATTCAACTGTAGTTAAACAATAAGAAATCTTCCAAAACTGTTTCAAATCAGAATTGTTTTAAAAATCATAAGCTTAAAAAAAGGTTTAGATTATACGAAAATTGCTCTATTTTATACTTTGGAGAAACATTAAAAAGGATTAAAATTAATTTTTGTTTTTTTTATGTTTGAAACGTTTAATTGTGTACTAGACTTTGAAAATTGTATAACTCCCCCCCCCCCCGGAACAAAAAGGCTCTGTACTGATTAGAAAATAACTAGATTAGATTATAACTACGTCTACCCCACATTCATCTATTTAAAGATCTAATAAAATTTTAAGTCAGAAAACCTTAGGTCTGAAAAAACGTTGGTCAGCTTGATTGATACCAGATAAAATACGCTTAAAAGAATAACTGCGCTCTTTTTGGGTATAATATCAGATTTGAGCTTTCGTGTGGGTAGGTGTTGTAAACTGGAATTATCTAATTGAAAAAATACTGGAATTATATAGAATCACTGGTAATTGGTTACAAAAACATACATGGGTATGTTGAATGGGAACAGGGGCGGATACAGGATTTAAGTGAGGGGGGGGGGGCAAGATTTTTTAGGAACCAAAAAAGTCATAATTATGAACAAAAAATTGCGCCCCAGATGAAAATGAAAAAGCTAGATTTTTAACTTTTCACACATTATAGTTTATTAAGACAGATATTTTTCCTGTTTTGCGCTAGGGTTTCTTTCCCTTAAGCATGCTATTGAGAAGCTATTCTGAAAACATGAACAAGAAATTCCAAATTTAGGGGGGGCGAATGTCCCCCGCCCCCCCCTGTATCCGCCCCTGAATGGAAAAATGATAGTGGTAATGAAAGACCAAACAGTTCTCCCCAGTCAATTAGTAAAATGTAGTTTTTCCTCTTACTAAAGTTGTATTCGCTGCACTTGGACAAGAAAACTTTCTAACCTATGACTTAATTAAAATATAGGCTATCAATAAATTGCTAACGAGCATTAATCGTTATAGTCAAATATATATTCAAGTACAATACAGAGAAATTAACCAAATTATACACGACGTCACAAGTGTCAAATATAACAAGGAAAACGAAATTTTCTCAAATTAGTTTTCAAAAATTAAATAAAAAAGTGTAAAAACAGAAAATAAAGAACACATAAAATTGCACTTATTTTACTGTAAGGAAAGCACTTTATACTAAAATTATCTCTATTATTGATGATTTTGTCGGACACAAAAACTGAATTGACACTTATGACGACAGAATACAACTGTACTGAGAGTGTACAAATTCTACGTTGCCATCTATTGTACTAGAATCTATTTGGTTATAGTTAGTGGTGATTTCTAAGAATGTTCACGAGATAGGGGGTCTACGAATCTTATTTCCAGACACTCATTAAATATGCAAATATTTTAGGTTGAGAAAAAACTATGAAAAAATGTTTAATTACCGCTCTAAAAATAGTTGATATTCAATGAACTCCAGAATAGACCAATCTAAAGCTCATTAACTAAATTGAGCCTGATTTTCTTTTCCTACAGCTTTCTTTACAAACCAATGTCGTGGGCCATAGATTTATCAGTTATGAATTATGTTAGATCAAATAATCAAAGTTTAAAATATGAAAGGTTTACACCACCAGTGTCCGAATTTAATGAATTTGAGCCGCGTCTTAAATCCGCCAAAAACCGGTTTCAATTGAGCGCCGGCTTAAATCTTGAAACATTGAATACAATTTTAAGCGAAACCAACGATATTTGAGCCGCGACTTAAATTTAAGCCGCCGCTCAAATTCTTTAAATTCGGCCTCAGGTTGAAAAGATAAAGGGATTATTTAACAGAGTTTGTGTTCAGATTTACGAACAAATGTTGCAAGGAACAAACGGTTCTATGCTTACTGGAACACCGTGCAACAGTAGTCTGAACGTCATCGTTGTATTTCACATTTTTTTTGTGACCACTGTACAACAGATTTTAATTGTAGAAGTTCTGTGATCTGAAGACTGATATTGAAAGAACGGACTACGCTCTCAATTTTCCATTTGTTCGAGATTTCCAGATTCAAGAGAAGGTGAGCTGGGTGAACTGAACAGGGACTGCAAGTCCATGTGACCCTCCATGCAAAGATGGTTATGCTTAATTCACAACGGTACCCTTAAAGTTTTGTCTGATCAATTATGAATTAAATATTTATGTTTTTAGTTTAAAAATCGGATTATTTTCAATTGTAGTTTTTCTACAAAAGTGATTTGCGCATTTCTACACTGTAAAAAAAACGTCTACGCTGCATAACGCTGGCACTACCGAGGACGATCTCATGGAGACCCGCTCTATTTAGCATAGCATATGATTTACGGTAGCCGGCTCTTTTAAAAATAAAGCCATCTTTACTCTCTGTAAAGTATGTTGTGCAAGGACAGACTCTACCAAGAATAATGTAGGTTCTACTCCACATAAATATGTTTATTATTGCATCTACTCAGCTCTACGCTGCGTTAATTTTCTTTATGCGTGCATCTACTCTGCACTACTCTAGACTACTTATTCTCTATTCTAAATCTTCTCTGCAATACTATTCATAATTCCATCTCTACACTACATTAACATGTTTATGCCTAAATCTACTCCTCTTTTCTTTGCATACATTTTTCTTTTCCATTCATATCTTCTGCTCTACTCACCACTACATCTACTCTACTCAACATCCGGTTTTTTCTACTCGGCAATTTGCTATCTCTATTCTGTATAAATTTTTGTTTCCCTTGAATCTATTCCACTCTACTCGATTCTGTATCTGCTCTATCCAACATCTAGTTGTCTATACTTTGCATAATAATTTCCCTATTCCACATTTAGAAGAATATACTTAAGAAAACTATTATGTTTTTAAAATCAAGTCTGCTCTTTACAAAATGTATTCTTCTTAGCTCTACATGGTATACGTTTTATTTAAAACAGAGCCTGTATTGAATATTGCAGGAAAATGTAAGGAAATTATTAAAAATAACCACTTATAAACCTAGAAAAACGACAATATCTTTAAATCTACAAATTATTGATCAAAGGAAGGTGTCAAGGGTAACGCGTTATGAATCGAGCAATGCCATTTTTGCCTGATGGAGAGTCACTTGAATGATACGTTTTGATATTTTGAAGAATCCACTGCACCCAGCAGGGGGAAATAATTTTCAGTTTTCCCCCCTTATAGATACATTTTTACACACAAAAAGGATTTATTTTTCTCAAATAAAAATCCAAAACATTATTGTTTTTAAAAAGTTTATACCTCTGTGGCAGAACAACTAAATATTTTACTAAATATTGTTTGTTTTTTTTAAACAAAAATATTCTTGTCGCTCTACTTGGCAGGACATTTTCTCTCAGATAATGTGACATCTACCCTGGTCCTAAATTATTATCATTAACCTAGTTTCCAAATATGCTGTAATTATATTCTGCAAGATGTAAGATTGCCGTTTCCCTTCAGAAATGCAAAATAAAGCGCAATTATATAAAGGTTAATGCAAATCTTATAAAAACGTCGCAACATAAATTGTTAAAAGAAAATGAAAATACACAAGAAATGTCAAGACACGTTTATGGCAATTTTTTGTTACCATTTTTAAAGTTCTTTCTTGTTCCAGACATTTGAAAATTTAGCAAAAATATATTTCTGTCTGAAATAAGAAATTTATTCCCCCNAATTTGTTTCCAGGAGAAGAGAGGAGTACAGTTTTCCAGTTCTAAACTCATTCTCAAGTTTTTAATCTAATTTAGTTGAAAGATCTTGATGTTCATCTTCTTAAACTTAGAGATTAGTAACATTTGCAGATCAGAGATGAAGGTCACTTAGATCCACACTGATCTGAAAGGTTGCATGATATTTTCAAAACTGGATTAACTTCAAAGTGTCGCAACACCTTGGTTTTTGATTTTACCTCACTAACTCACAAATAATTTTTTGTAGCCCTAGATATGTTCATTTTAAAATTGTAAAACAATTGGTTCTAGCTTTCATTTAAAAGCATTTATTTTTAAAATGGTGATTGATTGTCAACCTTTGGATCACTGTGTCCATAAAGGAACTGAGTTTTTGCCACAAACTCAAATTCTTTAATCCGTTTGTCCTACAAACCTGATGGTCTAAACCATATATGATATTTCAAACTTAGGCTTTTTACCTGCAGTTAAAACCCTAAATAAGCCATGCATCGAAAGAATTCAGCAAATGTCGTATTCTTCACTTTCTGATAATGGAATGTTGCAGATATTTAGTTTTTTAATTAAATGATTATATAGAGCTCTTTTCCCGCATATTCATGACTATTTATTATTTTCAAAAATACCGAGATTTACGTAAAATAATATAAAAGCCATTGAAAAATTGTCAAGACGACATTTGATAACTTTTTTCGATGTATGGCTTATTTAGAGTTTAACTGCAACAGAATTCTTAGTTTGAAATATCAACGACATTTGTTTAAAAAGATACAGGGATTAGATAATTTAGGTTTATGGCAAAAAACGGAGTTCCTTTAGAAAAGAGGGGTTTTACTGTTTCTAATTTCTTTTTTTCATATTTTAACATTTTTTATAATATTTTTGATTAAAGGGATTCTAGGCGTAACTTGAAATGAGCCTCTATGTTTGGCGTGTCCAATTCACAACATTACCCTTTAAACCTGTTACAGATGTCGGACACAAAGACGCTTTTGATTGTTTACCACTTGATTGGCATGCTCTTTTATATTAAAGAAGTTTAAAGGAATTGAATCTTTGCCACACACTCCAAATTTTTAAACCTTTTATCTTTGGAATTTTTGTAATGTGTCTTAATATTTTAAGGAATATGTCAGTTGTGACCATTTTCTATGGTTTTGACAATTACAAATTACAAAGTCCTTGCTGACATTTTATGATGAAAAGACAGAATATGATTATCATTCATAATCATTTCTGGCAATATACATTCAAAGAACTTTTAGAACCAATTTTTTTGAAAAAATCTTTGCTCTTACAAATATTAAAAAGTTCTAGGACCTGTAAATTGTGAATTGATTTAGATTTATAAATCATTATCTTTCTGTTTTCCTAACCTTTTACAAGTTCTCTATAATTGAGGAAAATGTTTTAAAAATCTTGAAATAAGAATGTATTGAAGTAAAGTGGAATTTCTGCTGAACAAAGAAAACATAGAAGAGATTTGAAAACTTTAAAATTATTCAAATAAAGAAAGAAAAGACGAAAAAAGGAACAATAATAATTAAAAAAAGAGAAAAATACGGAAAGAAAACAAAACAAATTTAAGAAAGAAAAAAAAATAATGTGATACATAAGAGGAAAAGCAGTTTCTAAGAAAAAAAAGAAGATGAAAACGAGACAAACTCCGGAAATTCAAGCTCGGGTTATACAACTTCCTCACGAGACAAACTCCGGAAATACAAGCTCCGGTTATACAACTTCCTGACGAGACAAACTCCGGAAATACAAGCTCCGGTTATACAACTTCCTTACGAGACAAACTCCGGAAATACAAGCTCCGGTTATACAACTTCCTGACGAGACAAACTCTGGAAATACAAGCTCCGGTTATACAACTTCCTGACGAGACAAACTCCGGAAAGTCCCACTTCCGAGAATATTCTGTCTGCAGCGCTCGGTTCCCTTGCAGCCTGCAGGCGACTCAAACTTCCTAAACTAACCTAGGTTAATTTAAGAAATGTAAATACTTTCTTTTGATCATTCCTGAGTTAGTCTTTTCCGTTGTTTGAACTTTCAAGAGGTTGTCTTTCCTAGAGATTGTCTTTACGTAGATGGTCTTTTCCGGAGTTTGTATTAACCGTTGTTTGAACATTCCGGAGGTCGTCTTTACCAGAGATTGTCTTTACCGGAGATTGTCTTTACCAGAGATTGTCTTTACCGGAGTTTGTTTTTATTAAGTTTTTCATGGCACCCTCCGTAGACTGCACTTAAGAAAATGGACAAACTTCAAGAACATATTATATTGTTTTGTTTGTTTAGATTGGTACTAAGAACTTGGAGAAGGCATTAAAATACAGAGAAGAAGGAAACAAGTTGTTCCAGGCAGATAAACCGACTCAAGCAGTTCTCTTCTATAATAAAGCAATATCTTACAGTCCTCATCCATCCTTCCAGCAGTTGGATACAGACCAGGATAAGGTGAAGGAGGTTCAGTTTGTGGATGAGATCCCGGAGAAGGAGCGGGGGAAGCGAACCCCCTCTAGGTATGAAGCACTAGCCCTGAGCTACGCAAACCGATCTGCGGCTTTAAGGCGTTTGTCCCAGTTTGAGGATTGCTTAAAGGACGTTTCTCGTGCAGCAAAGTTCGGATACCCGAAAGAGAACTTGCATAAGTTATGGGAACGAAAAGGAAAATGTTATCACGGACTCCGGAGATACGATCTTGCCTCAAAGTGTTATAGGCAGGCGCTCCAGTGTTTAAAGGAGTCTGGACTCAGTGATAATCAAAAAAGTGGGAAGGTTGTTGAACTGCAGGAGCTGTTGAAGGATATTAGAAATATTGTGCTCAAGTCTGGACCGAGCAATAAGGTAACTCCCGCGATACTTTTAAATGTCGTCCTCCGTAGAACTACTTCTGCATTTTACAATTTGTTTCCTTACCGAATTATTTTGTTTCTTTATAATTATGGTTTTCCGCAGATGTAAACTTGGTCCTTTCTTTTCAAAATCATTCTTTATACAATTATTTAAAGCGACCGTTCACTTATTTGGGTAATTTTAGGGTAAACTAAACAGGTACCATACCTTTGCGCTCAAATTCTGAACGAAAAATCGGCTTTTCTCCGGCCACAATTGTCTTTGAAAAGTAAGACTAATACTAATCAAAAGTGAATAGACTGTTTAGTTTACCCTGAAATCACCCAAGTAGGTGAACGGTCCCTTTAAATGTCTAGTTAATGCAAAATTGTCAAATTTCAATCTTCTTCTCATTATTTCTAAAGAGGTTAAGGTCGTCAATTATTGATGTAACCGTGCATATTACTTTTATTTTTAGACCTAAATGAAATCAAGAAATTTTAGGAATTTTAATGTTCCTTGTAGATTAGAGACGAGTATTAAATTATCATAAATAACTATGTGGTGAAAATTTGAGAAAAAGATCTCCGAATGCCTGTTTTTATTTAGAGAAGTGTCCTTTATGAAGGTATAGCCTTGCTTGAATTGTTATTGTTTAAATGTCCGGGACATTAAATGTTTTGTGTCAGCTTTATTTCGATAGTTCTAGTAAATGTTACTTTCAAACTGCTTTATAACACTTGATTTTGCCAGTTTTCTGTGCAAAGTATTCTCCGTGATGTTTGTAACTAACCTTTCTGCAAAAATATGTCAAAGAGAAATAAAAATGATAGTTTTTCAAGGTTCTATAAACATTGGATCCTATCGGAGAAATTAACACTAAACCCAACCTATCGGAGAAAATAACACTAAACCCAACCTATCGGAGAAACTAACACTAAACCCAACCTTTCAGAGAAACCAACACTAAACCCAACCTATCGGAGAAACTAATATCAAACCCAACCTATTGAAGAAACTATCACTAAACCCAACCTATCGGAGAAACTAACATTAAACCCAACCTATCGGAGAAACCAATTACAGAAACTACCGCTACAATCAAGACCATTTTTCAGGTTTATATTTTGGATAAAGATTATTTAAAAATTATTGCACCAAGGTTAATTCTGTATCTAGGAAGGAGAGGTTCAGGAGAGTTCCGAGGAAGAGAAACCTGTTGCTCCGGAGAGAAATGGTAGAAAAACAAGTTCCAAGGATAGTTTTTATTCAAAGTTATGTACCAAACTCCTAAATTTGAGTAGAACATCCCGTAGTTTAATAAGGAACCCCGCAGTGGAATAGGAAACCTTGGAGTTGAATAGGAAACCCTCGAGTTGAATAGGAAACCCTGGAGTTGAATAAGAACCCCAATAGATTAATAGGAAAACCAGTAGTTGAATAGTTAACCCTGGAGTTGAATAGTAACCCCGCAATAGAATAGGAAACCCTAGAGTTAAGTACGAAACCATTGAATAGGAAACCCAGTAGTTGAATAGGAAAGCCAAGAATTAATAAATGAAAAACCCGGCCAAGGTTTGAATAGGAAACCAATCAATTGAACAGGAAAGCTAGGAATTAATAAATGAAAAATGAATAAGAAACTCAGGAATTGTATGAGAAATCCAGGGTTTGGATAGGAACGCCGGGAATGGATAGGAAACCCATTAGTAAAATAGGAACCCTCGACTTGAATAAAGAAAACCCAGGGATCGAATAGGAACCCCAGAAATTGAATAGGAAACTTAGGAGTTGAATAGGAACCCCATGAATTAAATAGGAAACCCAGAAGTTCAATAGGAACCCCATGAATTTAATAGGAAACCCAGGAGTTCAATAGGTAACCCAGGAGTTGAATAGGAACCCCGTAGTTGAATAGGAACCCCGTAGTTGAATAGGAACCCCGTAGTTGAATAGGAACACAGTTGTTGAATATGAAACCCAGTAGTTGAATAAGAAACACGGTAGTTGAAGAGGAAACCAAGTAGTTGAATAAAGAACTCAGGATTTAAATAGGAATTGATTAGGAAGTCAGGAATCAAATAGGAGACCAAGGAATTTATTAAAATAGGCCAGGAATAGGAAAATAGGAAACCCAGAAATTGATTAGGAAACCCAGGAATCAAATAGGAAACCCAGAAATTGATCAGGAAACCCAGGAGTTTAATAGGAAGACCTGAAACCTAATGAATGAAAACATGCTTATGCATACAGGGAGGAAACCCTGAAACTGGAATGCAGAAAGCTACAAGTCAAGTTTCCATTTCCCATATTTCAACCACAGGGTCAATCAGGAAACCTTCCTTTTCCTTCACTGATTTCAAATCTTTTTTTTCTGCGTTAAAGGGACTGTAAGCGTAATTTTAAGTGACTCTCCATACAGAGATGGCAATACCCGATTTACAACAGTATCCTTGAAACCTTAATGTGATAATAAAAAATGTGAAAGATAATGTCGTTTTTCTGACTCGAAAAGTGTTTATTTCTGTATTTTTTATAAGCAAGAAATACGCAAGTCATTTTCGCATAGAATTCGCAAAGGATAATTAATGGTTTAAAGAAACAAAAACATCATAAAATCCATACTTGATCAGACGAAGCTTGGCATTTACCGTTGTAAATCGGGTATTGTCATCTTTTCATGGAGCGTCACTGAAATTACATTCACAGTCCCTTTCAGTCGGATAAATTTTACAATTAGTGACACCCTGTTTACTATCTGTATGGGTAGAGGAAAATGAATAAGGTTTATTAGATCGGAGGTGGATGTACCAGAGTTGAGCTACGGACAGAACCCTCGTCTACCCAGTGCATCAGTTGGAATAGATCTACAGTTCTCTCCGGAGAGAGGACGATATTTTGTAGCTACTCAGGACCTTAAACCAGGTAACACTTGGACCTTCGTTCAGGTTCGGGGCAAGGAGCTTATTTAGAGTTAGTAATATACCTCTTGTAGCTAGGACGAAGTAGAGGGTTTATTCTATGGTTAGTATACCTATTTAGAAAAATAGTTTTAAATTGTTTAACTGCTTAATTCAGGGAAAGTTGTCCAATCCTGGAACCATTGAGGTCACCCAAGTGTTGAAATCACAGACTTTAAAGGGACTGTAAGCGTAATTCAAGTGACCTTCCATTTAAAGAGGGACATCCCTGATTCACAACGGTACCCATTAAACCTTAGACTAATCATGCATCGAGGTCAGAGAACTCCGTGTATAATCTCTTAAATGCTGTGTAAAAAGCCGTAAAATGTCATCCTTGATCAGTCAAAGGTTTAAAAGGTACCCTTGTGAATCAGGATTTCCCATCTTTAAATTAAAGTTCATTAAATATCCCGGTTACAGTCTCTTAAACCGCAAAAGTTTTACCCTCAAGGTTTAGTTCATTGTTTTACAAAGAAACTTTCTTAATAAATAATTTTTATTTTAGGAGATGTAATCTTGAAAGAGGAACCATATGCTGCTGTTCTAGAACATGTATTCCGTGTAAACCATTGTTCTAATTGTCTGAAGAAGACTTCAACTCCGATTCCATGCTTCGAATGCGCTACGGTAAATGGATAAATCTATATGGAACGGATGAGAAGGATAAAATATTAGAAAAATATCCAGTCCCTTAGAAAAAGTTGTAGGGTGTCCCATCTCATATTTGATCGTGCATAGCTCTAAATTGGGACAAACAGAAAACTTTTAAAGATTGAATCGTTTTAAACAAATTAAAAAAAAAAATTAGATTATTTAGGTTTCCGGCGCACATTTTAACGTTAAAGCTTGGAGGTATCCCAATATAATATGCTAAGGGGGGGGGGATTTTTCGCCAACTAACATGAGCCAGTTTAATATTGGTGTCCTTTAAATAACAAGGGACCAGGTTTAATAAATAGCGAAGGCTTACAGGTAAATATTGAATTTACGACATTGAGTTGCTAAGATATAAGGATTAGAAAATCATAGTTTGAGAAAAATTTCTTTAAGCAAAAAAATCCGCAATATAAGATAAACAAAGAAACAAGAAAATTGTCAGCTAAAAATGTTCCTAAAAACGGGGTGCGAAGCGCCCTGAAACCCCAATATATTACATTTATCTCCACTATGCCATGGAGTGTCTTTTAATTAAGGGTAAGGTTAGATAATATCTATTTATAAATAATTTAGAAACTTTCATGCATATTATAAAGTTTAAATTAATTTTCAGGAATTTAAAAACCTAGGAAAAGTTTCCTCTAATTAGTGAATTCAAATTCATTAAAGGGACTGTAGTCGTAATTTCAATTGATCCTCCATTTATCCCAATACTGATCAATAATATGACAGATATCGTAATTTTTTTACTTAAAAAGTCTAAATTCTTCCTCCATTGTTTCTATAACAAGAAACCCGCAAGCAACTTTTACTGAGAAATCACAATTGAAAATAGCTAATTTTTAATGAGAATTCATTTATGACCAAACAACGATTTTAAGGGCACCCTTGTGAATCGGACACATAGCACTTTATAAATGGAGATAGAATGGAAATTTTTTCTAAAGTCCATTTCAACTGGTTTATACTGGGTTTTCTTTACAGTCCCTTTAAATTGGTTTAAACTGGTTTGAAACCAAGAAGAATCTGCATAGTTTATGTCTAGGTTCAATACTGCAATGAAATATGCCGCGAAGAGGGCTGGACTAAATATCACAATGTTGAGTGTGGTATATTAGCTTACCTGGAACCAAGCCAGTACTTGGGTCGTCTTCCTCACCTAGCCCTCAGGTACATCTCGATATTGAGAGATTATTTGAAGATGCATGAAAGAACATTTCAGAAAGTATATTTTGATTTTCCTTCGTTAGGATCATGAAGTTTTTAATTTCTCCTCCATTAAAGTCATTATTCCCTCAGTAAACCCTTTTAGATCATTTCTTGGATAGCTGTAATTTAAGAATTAGGACATTTCATGTCAGTGTATGATTTTGCTATCAATAAACGGACGATACACAGACCAATATCAGGACGGTACACCCACCAATATTAGGACAGTACACCCACCAATATTAGGACGGTACACCGACCAATATTANTCTTTACCCAATCACTTTCTAACTTACTCCCATTCTCATTCACTCACTCAATCACTAACTCATGTATCCACTAATCACTCACTAACTTTAAAACTTATGGTACACCAACCAATATTAGGACGATACACATACCAATATTAGGACGATACAAAGACCAATATTAGGACGGTACACAGACCAATATTAGGACGGTACACAGACCAATATTAGGACGATACACATACCAATATTAGGACGGTACACAGACCAATATTAGGACGATACAAAGACCAATATTAGGACGATACACATACCAATATTAGGACGATACAAAGACCAATATTAGGACGGTACACAGACCAATATTAGGACGGTAAATAGACCATTATTAGTAATATAACATAATATATAATATAAGTAAACCGTAACAATATGATTTCCTCTAACAGTGTATCTTACTGAATATATGTTTAACCTTCACTTAATCTCATAAGAAAACAGAACTTGTTGACTTAAATATGTTTATTTTCTTTATTTAAAATTTTCCAGGATAATAACGAAGACTGGACTGCAGAACCTAGTCCGACACAGTCAGAAGATGCTTCCTAGTTCTCCAAACTCCAGGGATCAAGTTGATAATCTCCTCTTTGATCCGACCACATACAAATCCGTCCATAATCTAGCAACAAACTCTGATAAAAGAACCTATGAGGACCTGCTCAAGAAAACGGCCGAGGCTATTTTTATGTCTAAATGCTTGAAATTTAACGGATTCTACGGGAGTACGACAAGTTTTAGTGCAGAGCAACAGAGAGCTGAAATATTCGTCTCCAGTCTTATTCTCAGACATCTCCAGACTGCAGCAACTAATGGACTAGAGATGGCGGAGTGTATCCTGAAGAATAATGACATAACAAAGTTTGACATAATTCCTGTCGGAGGAGCCATTTTCCCAACCATGTCGTTCTTCAACCACAGCTGTTATCCTAACGCCATCAGGCTCGGGTATCAGAACCTTCAGCTTGTCAGAGTTATTCGGCTCATACCCAAGGGAGCCGAGGTCAACATTGATTACGGATTTGATTTCTACGCCACACCGATGGAGTTCCGGCATAAGCGTGCAATGGCAAACTACCATTTCCGGTGTGAATGTGTGGCGTGTACACACAAATGGCCGGTTTATGACAGGTTGGTTGATCGTCCGCCTCAATACAGACGCAAGCTGACCCCTGACCTCATAGAGGAGGTAGCGAGGCAGGCCGCTAACTACGAGGTCGCTATGGAGCTTCTAGTGAGGTTGGATATCAACAAGGCTCTCCCAATCCTAGCTGAGTATCTCATGGTGATATCAGATATAATTGTTCATCCTGATGCCAGGTGGGTTCAAACCTAACAAAATTCCGATATATTAGCCAGAAAACTACGAAGATTAAACTTATACTAATAAGAGTTAAAATAAAAAAGAGACGAAAGTTTGGATTTTTATTTGTATGCTTCGGTGAACGGTTTTCCAACATTTAAGAAATAATATCAGAGATGGAAATTAAAGAATTTGAGCCGCGGTTTAAATCTGCCAAAAACTGGTTTAAATTAAGCGCCGGTTTAAATCTTGAAACATTTGATACAATTTTAAGTGGAACCAACCATATTTAAACCGCGGCTTAAATTTAAACCGCCGCTCAAATTCTTTATATTCGGCGACAGGTCATTTTTTGAGCCTTATACGTTGAAGTTGACACAGTAACTTGATCAAAACAATAATAAAAGATTCAGAAAGAAAAACTACCAAAAGTTAGATTGAAATTTGATTAGTGTCATCACATTCAAAATTATGGAAAATACGTTAATTAATTTATATATAATATATAAAGAAAAACTACCAAAAGTTAGATTGATANATGACTGTGACAATGGTTCGATAAAATATCTATGACAAGTGTTTACTGTTTGGTAATTTAAACACAATTCTAACTGCAGTGTTCTTCCACATTATTGAACAGAATTAGGTTTCAAGGGTATCGTTGAGAGTCGGGCATTGCAATCTTTACATAAAAGGCCACTTGAATTTTTGCTGATTGTCCCTTTATGTTTAATACATACATACAGTGTATAGACGTAAATGTTTGTATAATATACAGGGAGTACTATTTATAATCAGATTATCATCTTCTTCAGCAAATTATAATTTTAATAGTATTTCATGAAAGCTTTTCAATCTTCAACTGTTCCATGGATTTTGACATTTTATCACTTGCTTTGAAGCTTTCCCAACCTAAACCATCTTTAATTAGGTTAATATAACTATGAACTATCCAAACCATGGCTGCTTGAAAAAAACTTCATATTGAGATGGATTTTTCATCAAAAGAGCTGATTTTTGCAATTTTTATTGAATATTTGTTATATAATATAAAAAGGTTCATATTTCAGGAACTCAAATCTTAAAACAATTTCCAAACTGATGAAGATAAAGCAATTCAGAAATCAGAATATTTAGTTTTCAGGACATCAAATAAGTTGTTTATAAACAATGCTGCTTTTAAAATCTTCATTTTTATATAATTGTATAGACAGTGTTAGAAAGGATGATTCTTCAGAGACGACTGTACAGAATTAATAACGTCTGTTTCCTTATACTTGTGATTCCCCACAACTATAAAATTGTTTGTTTCTTTGCTAAAACATTTAATTAGGTATTAAGATACTGCAGTCTTCGTTGTATGTATCAAAACAATGATGACGACTTTTGATTTAAATTTTCGATTTCTTCCAAGCTTTCAAACAGCATGGAATTGGATTCACATAAACATGGAAACAAAGAGAAGCTTTCAGTCAACAGCTTCTCTTACTCACTGTGATTTAAAGGTTGCAAGCTCTCAAGCATAAATCGATGAGAATTTTGCCAATTACTTTTTAAAAACCCAAGTTAACAACAAGTGCTAACAGAAAAGCCTACAGAAAAGCATAAGTGAGTTAGAGCAGTAAAATCAAAGCCCAAGACGTTGCGACACTTCAAATTCGACCATGTCTTAAAAATTTATGAAAATTTTTATAATCAGGCTGGGTGTACTTTTTACTGTTTACTTGCAAACTTGTAATCTGAACAAATCTTGTTATGAAACAAAACTCAAAAAGAAAAGTCGTCTTCATTGTATTGATATAAACGCCGACTTTTAAATATTAAATACAGAAATCTTCATTTAACCTTGGGGTCGTCATGTTTAAGAGTTTTCGGTCGTCTTTACAATCTCATTCTTTGTGGGTAACCCTGTAGCACCACTCGCCGTGCATCGTCTTCTTGAAGAACTTTAATCCAGCTAAATTCCTTTTTGTGATTCCACATTATTTTGAATTAGAATGATTTAGAATTTAAATATTTAGATATCTGGACTGTGAGGAAGCGTTCAAGCAATGTCTATGGTTAGAGAACAGAGGGTTTAAGGTTCTCCGGGATAGATCTAAACCACAGAAACCAAGAGAAGGATTCTAACATTTCTGATACTGCTCACCATTATTAAAGATGTAAAATATTCTGAAAATTCATTTTTAAAAAAGATTGTTTTCTGTTGGTAGGACAATTATATATTTTGAAGGTAAATTGTTCATATATTACTTGTTATAAATAAATTTTAGTATAGTTCTTTGTAGAAAGATAGAGAAGACGACATTATAAAACTAACAAAGTTACGTCAAGTAAAAGTTCTGGGTTTACCCTGAACAAGTTCTTAAAAATTTGGTCAGGAAGGCCGTTGGGTTGTTCTTCCTGGTTCGTTTTAACCAATATGAATCCGTTCCAAAATGTATTGTTTATTCAAAAATTTAACTTGAGTTTTCAAATTTTTGTTAAATCTCTTTCGCGATGTTTTCGTTCAGCTGACGCCCCTAAATTTAACAATACATCCTAAACTTACTGCGTACTGAACTGATCTTCAGAACTCTAACCGAATAAATAGTGGGTATTAGCGTATTAAACCATTAACTATAACACACGTTCATTTTGAACGAGAAACATGGTTACCCACATAATGATAGAGGCACCTCTACAGTATTTATTTATTTTTTTCTATACAGTGCTGGTTCCCGTCCCAGATATTTTTAAATATTAGGTTTTGTTGGCAAATCATTTTGTAAACCTATACAAAACCGTCTCCAGATCCTCAGGATCAATGTTAGGTCGTCGTTATAGTAACCGGTAACCGTGTATTTTGATTCAGTTTATAAATAAATATAAAACCCTTAGGAAAGAAGCTTTAACAAAGAAATTGAGTTTTTGCCACAAACTCATTTTTTTAATTCCTACATTATTGTAACCTGATGATGCTAACCTTTAATATTTCAAATAATTTGATCTTACAGAATTCAAAGTTTGGTTTCAAAGATTCAGGGATAGAGAATCAGAGTTTGTGACAAAGACTCAATTCCTTTTTAGATTAGTTTTCGAAGAAAATCGGAATTATATTGTTTAAGATAGATTGGACAGCAATTCTTGTTAAATATAGAAAATATAATTTCCGTTCCGTTCATTTAACTATAGTCCGTCATAATCAATCATAAAATAATGATTTCCAGGGAATACATATATATACATATAATGTGAGTAAGTATAGTTTGTACATGTATACTGTATACTGTGAGTAAGTATAGTTTATAAATGTATATCGTATACTGTGAGTAAGTATAGTTTATAAATGTATACCGTATAATGGGAGTAAGTTTAGTTTGTACATGTATATCGTATACTGTGAGTAAGTATAGTTTATAAATGTATATCGTATACTGTGAGTAAGTATAGTTTATAAATGTATATCGTATACTGTAAGTATAGTTTGTACATGTATACCGTATAATGTGAGTAAGTATAGTTTGTACATGTATACCGTATACTGTGAGTAAGTATAGTTGTAAATGTATACCGTATACTGTGAGTAAGTATGGTTGTAAATGTATACCCTATAATGGGAGTAAGTATAGTTTGTACATGTATACCGTATAATGGGAGTAAGTCTAGTTGTAAATGTATACCGTATAATGGAAGTAAGTATAGTTTGTAGTATATCGTATAGTGAGTAAGTATAGTTTATAAATATATATCATATACCGTGAGTTAGTATAGATGTAAATGTATACCGTATAATGGGAGTATGTATAGTTTGTACATGTATATCGTATACTGTGAGTAAGTATAGTTTATAAATGTATATTGTATACTGTGAGTAAGTATAGTTGTAAATGTATATCGTATACTGTAAGTAAGTATAGTTGTAAATGTATACCGTATATTGGGAATAAGTATAGTTTATAAATGTATACCGTATACTGTAAGTAAGTATAGTTTGTACATGTAAATCGCATAATGTGAGTAAGTATAGTTTATAAATGTATACCGTATACTGTGAGTAAGTATAGTTTGTACATGTATATCGTATACTGTGAGTAAGTATAGTTTATAAATGTATATCGTATACTGTGAGTATGTAGTTGTAAATGTATACCGTATACTTTGAGTAAGTATAGTTGTAAATGTATACCGTATTCCGTGAGTAAGTATAGTTTATAAATGTATACCGTATACTGTGACTAAGTATAGTTGTAAATGTATACCGTATACTGTGAGTAAGTATAGTTTGTACATGTATACCGTATAATGTGAGTAAGTATAGTTGTAAATGTATATCGTATACTGTGAGTAAGTATAGTTTTGAATGTATACCGTAAACTGTGAGTAAGTATAGTTGTAAATGTATACCGTATACTGTGAGTAAGTATAGTTGTAAATGTATACCGTATAATTTGAGTAAGTATAGTTTATAAATGTATACCGTATACTGTGAGTAAGTATAGTTTATAAATGTATACCGTATATTGTGAGTAAGTATAGTTTATAAATGTATACCGTATAATGTGAGTAAGTATAGTTGTAAATGTATACCGTATACTGTGAGTAAGTATAGTTGTAAATGTATACCGTATACTGTGAGTAAGTATAGTTGTAAATGTATACCGTATAATGTGAGTAAGTATAGTTGTAAATGTATACCGTATAATGTGAAAAAAATCCGAATAAATCTGGAATCGTAAAAGGTTCCCGAAATTAAACACACAAATTGAAGTGCACTTAAGAGCCAAAATTACAAATTTACTTTGAGGAATAAAAACAAAAATTTATCCAGGTTAACCTAGAGATTGTACAGTGTACAATGTAACCCCAAAAAACATGAAAAAATTGTGATCTTTAAATAGTCTTTGATTTACTCGTTAACTTTTCGATAACCAATTTTGCAGAATTACCTTACAGAAAGAGTTGAACCAGACAGTATACATGGTCAAACTACTTTCACTAATTCAAAAATGTCCATCTAGGAAGTATAAAATGTGAAGGGGGTTGGTTTGGAGGGGTTTGAAGTTTAGTAAATTTGGATGGAAAATGCATTTATTATTAACATTAAATCATGGTTAAAGAAAACTTTAATTGGCCAGTAAATTTTAAAGTTTTGATTCGTGTAAGTTTGCTTTCTTATACAATGCAACAACACAAGCTCCACCCAGACCAAGGTTGTGTTGAAGACCAATCTTAGCTCCAGGTACCTGACGAGCACCAGCCTCTCCCCTCACCTGACAGGTCAGCTCAAGACATTGAGCTAGTCCTGTTGCTCCTAAAGGATGTCCTTTGCTAATTAATCCTCCGCTAGGGTTCACAACATACTTTCCTCCGTAGGTATTATCTGCATTATCAATCATTTCTCCGGCCTTACCAACCTCACATAGACCCAGAGCTTCATAGGTGATCAACTCATTAGCGGAGAAACAGTCGTGAAGCTCAACAACCTGGACATCGGACGGAGATAGTCCAGACTTTTTGAACAGCGTGTCAGCAGCAATCTTGGTCATGTCAAATCCTACAGCTTTGATACAACTTTTATCCTTGAAGGTTGAAGGAAGATCAGTTGCCATCTCAATACCAATAATCTCTACAGCTCTATCCTCCAATTTATTTTCCTTGACAAACTGCTCCGAAGCAAGGATTGCTGCTGCTCCTCCGTCGGAGGTAGGGCAGCACTGTAGTTTGGTGAGGGGTTTGTGTACGACCGGAGCCTGCATGATCTGTTCTAGAGTATATTCGTCCTGGAATTGACTGTTTGGATTGTTTATGGAGTGTTTATGATTCTTCCAGGCAATCTAAACACACAACATTTATCTAGATATAATATTTATACTCAACATATATTCTTCAAGATTAACCAATGATCAAAACGCTACCTTTTACTTAAATTAAAAACTTTCAATTTGGTTTTTTTTCTCGTTTAAAAGTTTTATTGATTACATTTTTCTGAAATCTAGAAGTTTCCCTTTTTGAAAGCCAAAATTTTTTTTTTTTAATTTACGTAGTGAGGGTGATTTAGAACAAGATGTTTGTTTGTATCCAATAAACGTCAAAACGGCTGAACCGATCGGGCCCAAATTTTTTGTGGGACATCACGTGACCACAGGGAAGGTTTATGAATGATAAAAAAATGTGTTTAAGTTTTTTAATTTGTAAAAAAATTTAAATTCTTGAAAATCCGCGAATTTTTTTCTTCTTTGCTTTAAAATGTAAACAAAAAGAACATGTTCACAATTCAAATAGAAGATGGGCGCGAAGCGCCCTAAAAGCCTAGTTTTTTTATATTTTATTAATTTAAAACCAAAACCATAAATAAAGCTGAAATCTGTTATCAGTAATTTGTAATTGCTCTTTTTCTCAAATATCCGAATAATCTCTTTTAGCCTCGAGGAGAGAACACCTCGGCCGCCTTGAGCCTTCCAGATTTGCTATACAATACCGAGCCTCCGCTATACAGTTTAAATTTCATACCAAAACTTTAAAGTTTTTTTTTGAGATATAAAGTAATATTTTTAAATAAAAATTCAGTTTGTTAGGTTGTAATTGTTGATTTCAGCAATGCTTTCTTTTGAATTTTTTTAGCTCTATATAATTTAAAAAAAATAATTGTTCATTACAATTTAACTAAATCTAAATATTTAGTTTTTAAAAAATGAATCACTTTATGAAAGATTATGACACGCCATTGATTTTAAAATATGTGACTTTTAAAAGAAACCACGATTGAAAATAATCAGTTTAAAAAAACATGAATATCTAATTCAAACTGAATCACACAAAGCCTTCAAGGGTACCGTTGTGAACTATACATGCCACTAAAATTATGTTTACTGTCCTTTTGATAAAATTCTTTTCACGAAAGAAACTTTGAATGTATTTATATAAAATGTATTGTGTAAACCGGAGGTTCGGTACTGTCTGTCAAGTCTGGGAGGCTCATGGCGGCCGGGGTTTCCCTCCCTCAAGCTCTAAATGAGGAGGAATGGACCGAAAAGATTAATTAATTAATTAATTAATTAATTCTTCTTTAAACAGATTTCCCTCAAATTAAATGAAGAAAACAATAAAGCTGGATATATAATGTATTGTAAAGAAACTAATATAACATACTGCACCAGGCCACTAATCCGAGCCGGTACAACATTCAGTCGTACTGCCCAGTCTGGATACCCAGTGTAGAGTTCACCATATTTTATGCTACAAATGTAGCCTGGCGAGATTACAGTGGCATTATAAGGGTATTTTGTTCACCTATTTATAAATAAACAAAATATTCAAATATTTTCTTTAATATATAGGTTTTCAAAAATATTCAAGATTGTGAAAAAATATGCAACATTGATTATTACTCAATTCCTTCGACATATAACTTGTATTTAACCATTTTTGTCTGTGTTTTTATACCCTAAAGATTTCTTTTTCTTAATCTCTAGGGCCTTAAAAGTTATAAAAATATTTATAATTAGAAAGGGTGGGAATTTGATGATGTTTGAACAAACTGATAAAAATGTAGATATATGTAAGATATCAAACTGAATTAAAATGAACTTTGAACAGAAAAAAAGAGATAAACAAGACTAAAAGTACAAGAAAATTCTAAAATAAAGCATTGATTCATGCGCGTTTTACTTTGTTTACACTAAAAACAACTCTTTTCTTTCTAATAATTTAGTTACAATTGTAATATCACTATATTAGAAACAGTTCGAGTAATTTTGAAAAACACATTCTTAGTAAAAAATAATTGAAAAGAGTATTTTGATATTGCCAATACTTGAAGTCTTTGACACAAACTTAATTTTTTTTAATGCCTATATCTTTGCAACCCAATGTTGTAGACCTTAGATATTTCAAACTATGAATTCTAAGTTTAAAATATCGAAAGTTTGTATCATCCTGCTGTTGCAAAGACATAGCGATTAGAAAATTGGAGTAAAAGATTAGTAAAGTAAAGATTAAATTCCTTTGTTTACCTTTGCGAAATGTTCCTCGGTTGTTCCATATTTATTCATGTGTTCCCGCCCTGCGTTCCCAAACAGTTGAGCAGCCATAGGGGACGCTTCAATATCTCTAAACTCAATCAATCAATATTTGAATTTTAAATTTGTATTTTAAACCCTGGATATGCGGAGAGAAGGAGCCTGATGTTTGGGTATGATGCCGAAAAATGAGAAATTTTTCCTTCTTAGGAGATCGAGGCTTTATCTATAGAAATGCAAAGGAAGACTTGGTGTGTCATAAAAAATGTCCTTCACAAAAACCCGTACAATCTGCTTCCAAAAGTGTTTTTAAGTTAGTTTGTCATCATAGGACATAGGTTGTGGCCTAAAGTGAGAAGCATGAATTCTTACGTAAGTCCAAAAAAATCAGCATCAAACCAATACTTTTGAGAAATGCACATTGCAAAACAAATCGGATATTAGCTCTGGCCCTTAAGTTAAAAGTAGTTGAAACTAATAACAAGATAGTTTTGATCAAAGAATGTTAAACTTCCTCCCATATTTACCCTATTTTCTCTAAACTGAAATTTAACTGTGAGAAAAGTTAAAACTTTTAAATTAACTTTCACGCTTTTCTAGAAACTTCCGCTAAGTTTTAAAATAAAAAAAAAAATTCTATAAAATGCATTTAAGTCATAACAGAAGCAGCACGCTGCTGCAAATTTCTTACAATAAATTGTATTAAAGCTTTACACAAAGAGGTTGTTAACAAATTTCAAGTGACTCTCCATTTACAGACCGATTCACAACGGTACCTTTAAAATGATGAAATCATAATTTTCGTTTACGGAGTCTCTAAAGAAGTGACTTGCCGATTTATGCTGCAGAGATAAAGAAGAAAATTAATCTTTACTCTTCATTCATTCATCTTCTTCATTGTTACTCAGATTAAGGGTGGAACAGTCCCTTTAAGGAAGTATATTAACCTGACCGCCATCATTGCTTCAACATGAGGTTGAACAGGGTTAGCTCTATCTGAGTAAACACTGCTCAAACTTCCTTTCTGCATCTTTTCAAATCCTAGAGCCAGAGCACAGTTCACCAGTCCTCCTGTACAATATACATATATTAGAGCTAGGACACAGTTCACCAGTCCTCCTGTACAATATGCTTATATAAGAGTTAGGACACAGTTCACCAGTCCTCCTGTACATGTGTACAATATACATATATTAGAGCTAGGCCACAGTTCACAAGTCATCCTGTACATGTGTACAATATACTTATAATAGAGCCAGAGCACAGTTCACCAGTCCTTCTGTACATGTGTACAATATACTTATATAAGAGCAAGATGATTTACAGGGTTACCCACAGAGGATGAAACTTTAATGAGCTGATGAGCTAGATAATCTACCTGAGATGAGCTGATGAGCTAGATAATCTACCTGAGATGAGCTGATGAGCTAGATAATCTACCTGAGATGAGCTGATGAGCTAGAAAAAGAGCTGAGCTTCCTGTTGCACAATTATTATTCACATTAATAATTGGTACTCCTGTCATTCCTAGATATCAAATAATCAATATCAATATATTTAGGGGGCATATAAAATATTCATGAACCTTTTGAGTCTGCATCTATATAAAGTTCTAAGGGAACGTCCCCCCCCTCCCTTTAAAAAAAACTCAGTCAAGATATTGAGGTGCAATAAATGTTCATTTTTCATAGCCAATTTTTTTCAAAGCAAGCTCATTAAAAAAAAATTTAGATTTTAAATTTGTATAACCCTTGAAAAATAAGTGAACTTAGGTACAGAATACATGAATTCTGAAAATCCCAGAATTTTGTATACTCAAAGTGTACTGCAGTTTAGTTTTCTGGGAGGAATATAAATATTGCATATTGGTATAAATATTCTGCAGTATATCTGTAAAATGAAGGTGTGTGGATTACTCTGAATAATTAGGATTTAATGATGTAGTGCTAATGATAGGGTCCAGGATACTAATTGTCTCAAGTATTAGACCAGCATGCAATGAATACATATATCTGACGAAAACAGTCTTTAAAATATACAGAACTAGCTTGGTGACCCAGCTTTACCTGGAAACAAGGTCACTATAGTTTCAACAGAAGTAAATATTTCCATTTACTGATAGCGTCGATTTAATGATTCATATCTCTAATTGGATAATGAGATCAATAGAAAGATAGATGTTACCGCCATCCTATTTCTATTGGTTCAGAATAGACAACAAACACATGACTGAACCCTGATTGGATCAGGCGCTAATGGACTCGGCATACAGGAGTGAGGTTTCCCTTATGTGGGACCTCACATGACCCCAGGGAAGGTTTATGGATTGTTAAAAGTAAAACAATTGCATTAAAAGTTTCGATTTTCAAAATCCAGGAAAAAATCAATAAAAAAGCAACAATCAAAAGTTAAAATCGAAAATGGAACTTATTATACACCCTTGGTCAGTTATCAAAAATAAAATGAACAGGAAGATGATGTTTTAGCAATCTTATGAGTATTTAATGTATTTGATGCTGTTAAACTCAAATTGTTTTAGCAGATGCATGATAACCAAGTGAAATAGTTCTGTGCTAACTGCACAACTGTTATATTATATACTCGTTAATATATTCAAAAGCATAACTTGAGTCTAACAGCCGTCTTCCTATTCCACAGGGTCTCAAGCAACGTCAGAAAGTAAAATGCTCGTAAGATCGAAATCTTAATTGTTTTTAATTTAACATATCTTCTCTTATTGAGTAGAACAAAAATGTATAATACGGTCATAATCAGGAAGACCCGGAAATAATTTACCATTAATCAGACGACTTTACAATTTAATTTTACAAATATGTTTGATGAAACGATAATCACAAAATAGCCCAATTCCTGCTATTTCCAAATTTTGGTTTGCCTTTTTTATAAATATACCTAGTGGATGCAGTGCTCGCTAAATATACCTAGTGGATACAGTGCTCGCTAAATATACCTAGTGGATGCAGTGCTCGCTAAATATATCTAGTGGATACAGTGCTCGCTAAATATACCTAGTGGATGCAGTGCTCGCTAAATATACCTAATGGATACAGTGCTCGTTAAATATACCTAATGGATACAGTGCTCGCTAAATATACCTAGTGGATGCAGTGCTCGCTAAATATATCTAGTGGATACCGTGCTTGCTAAGTATACCTAGTGGATACAGTGCTTGCTAAATAAACCTAGTGGATACAGTGCTCGCTAAATAAACCTAGTGGATACAGTGCTCGCTAAATAAACCTAGTGGATACAGTGCTCGCTAAATAAACCTAGTAGATACAGTGCTCGCTAAATATACCTAGTGGATACAGTGCTCGCTAAATATACCTAATGGATACAGTGCTCGCTAAAAATACCTAGTGGATACAGTGCTCGCTAAATATACCTAGTGGATACAGTGCTCGCTATATATACCTAGTGGATACAGTGCTTGCTAAATGTACCTAGTGGATACAGTGCTCGCTGTCCACAGGTTGAATCTCCATAAACATATCCAACACAAGCCTGCTCTATAGCACTGTACTTAATCAGACCATCCTCCAGAGCCTTCTCTACAGCCTCTTTAGCCATATCAGGGTAGTCAAAGTTCTCCCGTCGACCAGGTTTCTCAAACTTGGTCATACCGACCCCGACAACAAATACCTTCCTCCCACTCATCCCGCTCATGTTCCTCCTCATAAGGTTCAGGTTAATCAACAGCTTCCTGGAGATCAAACTCATCTTTGACTAGCTCCTATCCTTCTTCACTTATCTTCAAAACAAACAACACTGACCTAGCTTATCTCGGGTTCACAGAGCACGTCTTATTGAACATTTCACGTTGCAGAAATTTTCAAAATATTCATTCGCTAAAAAATCTTTTTTAAAATTACAATTCAGTTAAACTCCTGAAATATTTATAGAAGAAATAATCTTGGTTTAGAAAAAAGATTTATTTGGAATCAGCAAGATTACAGAATTTTTCCCTCTTGTAAATCATTTTTGTGTTTTTTTCAGTAAAAGCTTAAAGAAGAAGAAGAAGATTACAGAATTAAGCTGAAAAACTAAAAAATTCCGGTTTAGTGTTATATGTTTCGTGAGTTCCTAGCACTGAACGAGGGGAGGATGGTGGGTCGCACCCGTTTGACATCCGACCCACAGATGACGTCACAAAACGTGTTTGTGGCATGCAGCTACCCCTATGTCGTCCGACCCTCACCTGTTGGCGTTCCGGAAAAATGTCTTAAATTGTAAAGACAATTATTTTAAGTCTGAAAATAGTTTTTTTTCTTTTAGGCCGCATCAGTCAGGCAAGCTTATAAAAGTTTTCTTGCAGAGAGTACTAGGTTTTTTGAGTATTATGTGCGTATTTTTGCATTAAAGCTTGGATATAATCTAATATTATATGGGACGCTCTGTATTATCTAAAAATCTTATGAATACAAATGCGGGTTGGAAGATATACGGGTAAGTGATGCCGCAAATACTATCTACACTAAAATGTTGTTTGATCTGAATTTTAAAACTGTCGCTGATTTCAGTGGGTAGATGTACTACTGTTACAAACAAAAAATATCATGAATAAGTTTATTATATGATAGATGCCATGACATCTTTATAAATTTAAATTAATGCTTAATTTGTCTATAATTAGCATATACAAATTAAGAAATTTTGCCGGAAGGCCAACAGGTGAGGGTCGGACGGCATAGGGGGTAAGCACATGCCGCAAACCCCTTTGTGACATCATCTGCGGGTCGGAAGTAAAACGGGTGCGGGTCGCCTTCCCCCCCTAACTAAACTTGTATTAGATAATATATAGATAATAGACCTGGAGTTAAGAAACTATATGTGATTGGGAGTTTAGAAGGGATCGACGTAGATTTTAGTTTATAAACTCCTGAAATATTTATAGAAGAAATAATCTTGGTTTAGAAAAAAGATTTATTTGGAATCAGCAAGATTACAGAATTTTTCCCTCTTGTAAAAGCTTGAAGAAGAAGAAGATGCCAAATTAAGCTGAAAAACTAAAAAATCCGGTTTAGTGTTATAGGTTTCGTGAGTACCGAGCACTGAACTTTTACTAGATAATATATAGATAATAGACCGGGAGTTAAGGAACTATATGTGATTGGGAGTTTAGAAGGGATCGACGTAGATTTTAGTTTTATCTTTTGTTTAAAACCTGTGTTTAACTCCATTTTATTCCACTTCAATACTGTGAATCGAGTCTATACTCTACATTACCCATCTGTTAGAATCTCGTCTGTTTATTTAGTCTCAGCTCAACCAATATGTCATCCAGGTTGACCATTTTAGTTTTTATGCAAATCTAAATTTATTGCTTCAAGTTTCTGTTATTCAGCAGTGTTTCCCCTTATTTCTTATTATCATCAATTATTTATGTTTGTTTTGTATAGAACTGGGAAGGATGTGAAATATCTTGATATCTATATTCAAAACTAAGAAACATTAGGTTTTTTCCTAAAAATATAAAAGACGAAATTACATTGGTCTTGGATATTTATCTAATAATTCTTTTAACATACAAATAAATATTTTAATTGTGTCTAAAGAACATATGTTATAGACAATAATTTCTTGTGAGCTTTTCAAAATGTGGTCTACACAGAGGTTTAGACAACTCTGAAAGAAAGACAACAAATTATTAGACAGCCCCGACTTTAAAGTGTCACAACGCCTTTGGTTTTACCTCATCCACTCACTTATATTTGTCCCAGACATATACATTTATAAAATCCAACGTTTCCAGCTCAAGTTTTAAAGAAGTAATTGGCAAAATACTGCTGGAGTTTCCCTTGAGAGCGTGCACACTGCAGACCTTGGTTTGCTGTGTCTACCGTCTTTGTATCTGAAAGCAGTAATCTCTGCTTGTTTGTTATTATGTCTGATCATAACTTAGGAACTCTTTAGCCGATTTACATTACATTTACACTGAGGAACTAGGGAAGAACCCCAAGGATGTTCTTAGCTTTATATAAAAAAAATTCCAAGTTGAGTGGGCTCATTATTTTAGAGAACTTTTAGTTTCCAGGCAAAGCTGGATTCCCAAGCTAGTCATTAACGTTTACTATTATATTTAATATTCAGACAATAATGGTAGGATTTAACAAATCGGAACAAAGGAACTGATTACTCGATTCAAAATAAAATTTTCTTAACTGTATATATTTGCAAACTGATGTCGATATCGGAAACTTAGATATTTTAAGACCTAAAATGTTAAACTTCATGAATAAATATTTTTAAAATTAATTTTATTTTATCTTGATGCAAGCCCAAGATTTTTAAACCAGCGGATATTCTGACCTTTTAATTATTTAATTTTTTGTTTCTTTCTTTTGTAGATATCTAATCTTTCTTTAAAATATTCTCTTTTTAACAACGTGACCTTTCTTGATGTTAATCCACTTCCTGGTGTTAATCCACTTCTTGATGTTAATCGACTTCTTGATGTTAATCCACTTCTTAATGTTAATCCACATCTTGATGTTAATCCACTTCTTGATGTTAATCCACTTCTTGATGTTAATCTAATTCTTGATGTTAATTTACTTCTCATAATGTTAATCCACTTCTTGATGTTAATCCACTTTTTTTCTTATTCAAAAGTTTAAAGGTTTGTTTTACAAAAGTTATGAGGACAGAATAATTGTAAATTTATCATTATTAAAATTGCTTCATCTTCTAGTGAGAGCCAGAAAACTGTGGAATAGGAAGACGACATTAAAGCAATACTAAAGTGTATTTGATGTTTTTACAAGCAAATAGCTTTAACAGCAACTTATTAAATAATTTATTAATTGAAATGGGCCTGTTTATACTGCACATTATCACATTTGTTAAAAACATGGCAATAAGGTAGACTAAATTTTTTCAGATTCATTTTGTAAATAAGTTCTGGAGTAGGACCCGTAAAACTGTGAATCAGGAAGACAACTTTAGAACTCAAATTATGATTTCAAATAGTCTAATGAACATAAAATACAGCAATTGTGCAATGTAAACAAAACAGACTCATTTATGGTGATCGCTACTAATCTATCTGTTGCGTCTATCAGGAGAAAATTGTTTAAAACGACTCATACCAAAAAGCGTAGCCTCCATACAAAGTCAGAAAATTGCAACACACGACTCAGATCGTAAAAAAATCAATTAAATTCCAATCAAATCATTCAGATATTACAATCTATAATCATCGATACTTTCGTCAAATTCGTATATAGTTAATTTTTCTTATTAATTAAAAAACAATAATATTTAGCTTAAAACTTGGTCTCACGGCTGGCGCTGGATTTTCGAACATTCCTGGCAAATATGAAAATGTCGTCTTCATTATCAAAAATCCTCGAAATAGGAATAAATGTTTTCAAAAGTAATTCTCCAATCATATGAAAAAAATTTACGAAATATCAACTTTATACTAATGCGTCTAAAAATTATCGATGATTATAGGTTGGAATATGTAATAATGATTTGTTTGGAATTAAATTGATTTTTTTTACGATCCGGGTCGTATGTTGAAACTTTCTGAATTTGTATGGACTCTACGTTCTTTGGTATGAGTCGTTTATATTAATTTTCTCCTGATAAACGCAACAGATAGAAGTAAGATTAGTAGCGATCACCATCGATAATTTTTCGCCGTAAGTCTATACCCTCTTTCATTTTTCGAGAACACTCCCTTTAAATGTCGTCATACCATTCCTCGGGTTTACGAGTCCCGCTTTATTTGAGTCTTTTAATTGGTGAGTAAACACCGCTTTCATGCAAAATATAATCATATCTACTGCAGGGTGTTTCTGAAAAAAGTGTGTTTAGGCATTTTAGCCTACTAACGATTGTTGTTTAGTGTTAAAATTTAAATATGTACTTGGTCTCTTTTCCAAAGATTTTCAAAAAGATAAAATTATGATTTGTTAATGTTTTTTAGAACAGAATAGAATAAATTGCCCATTTTCAATGATAGAATTGAGGATTTTTCAAAATAAATGACATAAAATTTATCATATTGTAATTTCTTAGGAAAAGGAACCGAGTATATATTTCGAGCACATTTTGAAGGTTAAAACGGCATTTTTTAGCAATATGTTTCAACAACGACTCCCCAGTAAATGACCAATGTTCCATGAAGTGGCACTTTTCAGTGCTATTAAACGACGTTCAGTGGGTGAAAAAGCAAACTATGTCTTCGGAAATGGGACCGAGCACATTTTCGAATATTAGGCATAATTTTGAAGGTTGTTTTAACCTTCAAAATAACACATTTTCGAGAAAAATGTTTCATCGACGACTCCCCCATGGTCACGGAAATTGTACATACCAGGAGCAGTTTTTAACGCAATACAACGATGTTCAGTAGGCTTAAAAGCCTAAACACACTTTTTTCAGAGACACCTTGTATATGTATTGAACTAGTCCTGATTACTGCTGACATCATCCTAATATTGCTTTTCATATATTTTTTAAACAAATTTTGGCTGAAATGTAGTTTGATACAAGGTATTGTAAAGATTTAAAACGTTTCCAGAGCATTAGATATCCTACTAAACTGTGTTTGAAAGATATTTATCAGTTTTCAATCTAATATTGGAATTGGAACCTCGCCTATACTCAAGAATTTGAATTCTAACAGTCTTGTCCTTTAAATACATTCTGATATATTTTCAATAGATTATTAATTTATGCTGTCTCAATGCTTATGTACTGCAGTCAGGAAAAGGGTATATATTATGTACTGCAGCCAGGAGAAGAATATATACTGCGTACTGCTGCCAGGAGAAG